TCCCCAGAATGGTCTGGTGCCTTCTAAGGCCTTCTTTTGGGTGTGCCACTTGTGGTGCTAATTGGTGGTTCTCTTTTGTGGACTGATGCCAGCTCCTGGGTGTGTTGGTTCTGGGGACTCTGGAAGGGACTTTGGTACAGGTCAATCTCAACACTGCCTGTGACTGACCCTGGCTTACCTGTTAGGAGCTACAAAGTGATACACAGTTGGTATATACCTCTGCAGGGCCTGGGTGCTCATGGGAGGGGCCAAGCTAGATCTGAGGTCAGCTGCCACCAGTACCAGGTCTGGGAAGGTCAGCAAATGGCCCAGGGCACCCTGAGATTTGCTTTCACCCGCCAAACTCCCCTTAGGCTCAGCCACTGAAAGAGCTTTGGGCAGACCTGAGTTGCGTGAGACAGGTTCTCAGGGAATCACCAGGTAGGGGTAAGTGGTGTTCACTAGGTTAATACAATTTCAAACTCAGTGCCAGTGCTGAGTCACAGGCCACTCAGTAAAAGTCTCAGGGTACATCAAGGCCAGCTGCCATCTGCCTGGGGCCTTTGTGGTGGTATGGGGTCTCAGGGAGTCACTAGTGTGGAGCTAGTAGAGTTCAGCAGGCTAAAGCAGATTAAGATTTGGCCGTGTAGCCCTGGCTGGTTTGGCTCAGCGGTTAGAGCGTCAGTCTGTGGTCCGGAGAGGCCTGGGTTTGGTTCCCGCTAAGGGCATGTACCTCGGTTGCAGTTTGTCCCTGGCCCTGGTTGGGTCATGTGGGTGGACACCACTCGATGTGTCCCTTTCACGTTGATGTTTCTCTCTCACTTCCTCTCTCTCCTTCCAGCTCTATCTGAATAAAAAATGGAAAAATGTCCTCGAGTGAGGATAAAAAAAAAAGATTTGGCTGTGTAGAGGGAAGGCTTAACTCAGGAAATGTGCTGCTCGTTGGCCATGCAAGAAGATGACCCTCACTCTGAAGCCACACAACTCAGTTTCTCCCTATGTGTCTCTGGCACCCCCTGAGCTTAACTGGAATTCTTTGAGAGTTATTCAAGAATGATTGCTACACTGGCCCAGGCTGGCTGCCCTTAGCTGTAGAAGAGTGATTTTCTAAAGAGAAAAGAGAAAGGCTATTGGGTCTTCTTATATCTTATTTTTCCTTGGTTTCAGCTTAGCCAGATACATGAGAGTAGATAATTCTAGCTAAATCATACTTCGTTTATACACATCTGATATACTCTTGAGTCCAAAGTGGCCCCACTGCAGGCGGCTGGTTTGTGGGAGATAGACATGGAGCCAGATCTGAGTCTCCTGTAGGCAGAGCTATCATTCCATGTTTAGGATACTCAAAGATGGCAAAGCTGTCTGCTGGCATTGCTCTGCTGTCATGAAGGGCATTAGTCATCTGCTTTTCTCAAGTGAATGCTCCTACCAATTATAATGTTGCCCACAAACTTAAAAAAGGTGTATTAGGAAGTTTTGGTATATTTTCAAAAAAGGGTATTTCATTATTATTTTATTAGGATATTTCCATCTTATCCCAGGATGTACTTAGGCATTTGAGATTATTCTTGATTTTAGCTATTAGATATTGAGTAATTCTGTTTAGAAGAAAAAACGAGTTAATGAGTTAAGTAACTGACAGATGATGTATTTTGGCTAGTTTCAGAATTAGAGTACAGGTTTAATTTTTCTGGTAGAAGTACCTAAACTTTGTTTTAAGGGATTTATTCCTTTTAAAATAGCTTACATGCATTATTTAACTTAATTCTTACCATAACTGTGTAATAATCAACTCCAATTTGGAGCAGAGAAAAATAAAAACTTTTGACATTAAGCCCAACAGTGCTTATTAGTTTATTGGTTACTTCAAGAAAGTTTTATTTCAATGTTTCTTTTGACACCTGCACTCTCTATTCGAACTTTATATACATGTGTTTATTCTGAAGAAAGCTATAGTTTATATTGTTTATATAGAAAATAGTTTCAATTTTATCAAGAAAGTAATGGAAATCGTGTTTTAGTCAAGGACAATGGGTACATGTGTATCTGTGTGGTGCATGCACTTTTAAGTATTTATGGAGTGTAAGAGTCTAATAGTAGTTCTATATAGTAACAGTCATTGTGTGTTTTTTAAACTTTCTAAGATTTCATTTCTGTACAAACGAGTGCTGTGAAATTATTCTGGCCAAAATACCAATGTTTGTGTTTCACTCACTTTATCTGCACTTCATAAAAATGCTTAAATATTACTTCATCATCTTTAAATTTGCTTTTCAGTATGTGAAATCTATGAACTAATTCTTGAATATTTATGAAGTAATCCTGATTTTTGCAGGTGTTGCAAGCCCTTAGGAATATTTAGCTTAATTTGGAACAGGATTCTCTATTTTTTGCTTGGTCTTTCATTTTTGAAAACCAAGTTACAGTAAATCCATCTATGTATAATCCTTTTGAATCTTTCAATAGTAGTTTGGTTAGGCATATGAGTTCTCATAGTTCACGATTTCCTAATTGAAATGCTAAGAGAATTGTTTAATAGATCATGTACATCACTGTGTATATGTTATGTGTCCCCACAGTAAAATTTATGTTTTATAGAATTCTTGGGTAGGGTTAGCAGTCTTAGTTAAAAAAAAAGAATTAATGAAGAATACTGTCTCTTAACTTTCTATTGTTATTGAGCAAAGTTATTTTATAGTGTCTATTTGTATAAAAGTCCATTTCTAAAAGAACCAGTGTAAGATCAGTAAATTAAAATACTTTGTAATATGTTCATGATGATATATTGCCAATTGGTAGTTCAACAAAGTAGAGTTTCAGTCTTTTATTCTGACATATGTTAGTCTTAGGTTGTTTAAGTTTCTCCTTCAGCAGATTTGTGCCCATAAAAGTATTTGCCTTAGAATGAGTAGAGCAGACATTTGGGTGATAATGATCCTGTGGGATGCTATCAGACCTGTTTCTCAAAGTAGGATTCATGGACCAGCAACATCAATATTACTGGGAGGTTGTTAGATGTACAGTGTTGACCATTCCCAGATTACTCCTTCAGAATCTGCATTTAAACCGATTCTCCAGATGGTTTGTATGCACATTAAAGTCTGAAAAGCCCTTCTGTAGAAGACATAAGATTTGGATCTGGACAAGAAACAAACACTTCTTTATCTGAGGTTGCAAGGATATAAAGATCTAGGAATTATTTCTTAGAATAACATAACATATGTTCACCTTAAAAGTACATTTCTCTTAAGGATTACTCATCTAATCTGTAATAAAATGTGTGTAATGCATATTTTTACTTTGATACTTTCATCTTAAACACCAAAAAAGATAAACTTTACTTCATCCATATCAAGTGAGCAAACCTGGTTATTGTAAAATCTTCCCTAAGATAGTGGCACCCTCTGAAATGGAATGAAACTGAATCTTGAGAAAAGGAGATGGAAAACTGAGGCTCTGACATTGGAATGGCATGATGTGTGTCATCACTTATTAAGCTTGTTTTTGTGACTCCAGGGATGCAGACAGACTTTATTCCCTCCGCGTTAATGAATAAGTATTTCCTGAATCTTTGCTCTGTGGAAAATGAAACAGAGCAGATCAAACCTTTCCTCAGAGAGTTTACAGTAAGGACAGGGAGCTGTCCTTGAAAGTCAGGCAACCTGTCACCAGCAGGACAGTGGTATTCTGGGGTTGGCCCTGTGCATCCATTGGCAATGCTTCTCTCAGCTATGGTTAAAAGGGAGAGTAGGAATACAGCACTCATGTCAGTCAGTTATACCTTTTCCATCAAAGTAAGTACTGTTATATAATTTCAGTATATTTAAAGGGAGTTAGAAAGTTAGAATTTAGAGGAAGAACCAAGGAAATGTAAATGTCTAGATGTACACTCTCCTAACAGCCTTAATGTAATATTTGTTGTGGCATACTCTGCCTCTGAATTTTTCAGTTTGCTTTAAGGAAAAGTGTTTTGTCTGCATGCTGCTTCCATTAATTCAAAACTCCCTTCAGTTTTGCTCAACTTCTGAGGTGGCTCTAGGAGCTCATTGACTTTTCTGGGGATTGCACTTCAAAAACTTCTTAGCCTGGGATCTCTCAGTACAAATGAAGTCTTGCTCAGTAGTGTGAGCATAAACCACATGGGAGGGCGAACTGTTCTTGTTGAACCTGGGATTATGTCTGGCTCTTTCAGGTGTCCTTGAGGGTGGGGATGAGAGTAGGGGTCTTGGGTTCTAGCACACAGCTGAAAACCAGTGTCCTAGTGTTAAGAACACCACCAGGACTGCAATTAATATATTAAAAAGATATATATATTTTTTTTCATGACATCTGTTACCTTAATTCTGATTTTTATCCTGTATTATAAAGTTTTTCAGTCTTGCACAGGTGACCCAGAAATCTTCAAGATAGGAGGTCAGCTGCTTGTAGTCACTACATGTGAAATGCCTTAAGCATGTGGGACCTGGGACAAGACACAGAGACACAAGATGCCTCTCAAGAACATACATTTTTCTGACTTGCCATAAAGCTTCCCATAGGCCAGGAACTATAAAAGAAAATCACAGCATATTATAATTTGAGATTGTAAATACTGACGTCTATTTATGGTGCTAACTCTGTTACTTTTAGAAATTCATGTATAATATTTTAAAAATACTAATAATGGCGTTTCACTTATGCCACATATTTTTCCCTCTGCAAAATCTCAATTATGAACTTAATTCTTGAGAGTAGGAAGGCACTGTGATGTATTATAAATCATATTTACTTTTCCCCCTACCTTAGAAAGGCATGTGTGGCTTATTATGAGAGACTTTTGTTCAGGACTTTTCAGTGGGAAATACATTTTGACGTGAACAGGATTTAAATGGCAACTTGATAATATATCATTTTAGGAGATTGCTGAATGTTTCACTTAAGGATTAACTCAGATTTTATGTCATGATTTCACTAAAAAGTATTATGTAGTCATATCAGATTGTCACCTACTATGCTTAGTGAATGCCGCTTTTGGTCTCTAGAATGACTCAGGCACTTTGGACACAGTGGGCGCTGTGGTTGTGGACCATGAAGGGAATGTCGCTGCTGCTGTCTCCAGTGGAGGCTTGGCCTTGAAACATCCAGGGAGAGTTGGGCAGGTGAGTAACTATGGGGTTTTTAAACTAGCTTTACAAGCTAAAACATGGAATTTTCTAGCTCACAATTTTTAAACTGTACAGACAGTATTTTATTTAGAAAAAATATCATTGTTCTTTAACATTTAGTGGTATAAATCATCAATCAAAAACCTTTACGAGATTCTTTCTATAAAATTTAACTTATAGAAATAGGGTTCTTTCTGATCTTTACAATTGTTAATCCTGTGTTTTACTATTTTGGACAGGCTGGGCATTTAGTAGACAGTTGATAAATTTGTCTTGATTTCTGTTTTCTTCCTTTGTAAATGTCATTTTTTCAAGAGCAAGCACTACCTAACTATATCACTTCTTGCTTTTTAGGTGACAAAATGACTTTAGAGTTACAGTTTGTATTTCTTCCATTCAAGGAACATTTGACCCTGTAAATTTCTCCTCTGATTAAGCATTTCAGCTATTTTATAGACTAACCAGTATTTCAGGTCACCAACACATGATACAATTCAACAAATCTAGATATAAGGAAGGTCTGATTTTTGTGCAACTGGCTTATTTCCAATTCACTTGCATATCTTCACCCTCCCCCCTATCCTCACCCCTTATCTGAGAGTGAAATTTAAGACTATACAGAGAGTGAAATTTAGCAGTCTATTTGATCTAGTAAGCTTTCTGAGTCTAAACCAATTTGGCACATTACTTATGGGTTTGATAAATATTTGTTGAGTGAACAACTGAATTGGACTCCATCATGGCATCTGTTAAAGTAGTTGCAAGGGGTGTGTTTAAGCTTAGTAGTTGGAGCTCATGTTACATATGCTTGCTACTATTTGCACTTTGTTTTTCACGTTTGAAGAAGAGTTGGTGTCACAGTTGCTTTGGACATGGTGGTTAGTGAATGCCTGAAGCAGAGTGATCTGATTCATGGAGGACATCTTTGCAAAGCCTCAAGTGTTGTTCCCTAAAGTTTATAGTGGATAAACCACCTACAGTCCTATGAGAGGAAAAGGAAGGGAAGAATAATTAATTTAGTGCAATTCTTTGTCTACTATAGAAGAGATTTATGAGGAATGATTACTCAACATGTATACAATGCTTTGAACTCATTATAAAAAGCCTTTGTCTGGTCATGGCATTTTTCCACATTATAAAGTCCTGTGCATTTGTCAAGTTTGGAATAAGAAAACCAAGGTTGGCATATCAGTTTTGGATGCCTTGGTGGAGAAAGAAAGAAAAAAACCAGCAGAGCCCCCTTGTTAGCATTGCAATTCCCATGATTTTCTCACTGTTTTTTGTTTGTTTTGGTTAGTAAAATAGCAGCAACAGAAACAAGGATAGTTCTGGACTATGTTAGCAAGATATTACATCGAACAATCTTGAAGCATTCTGCCACTGCAAAGGGGACTATCCTAAACCTGGAAAAAGAAATACTTCTGTAAAACTTAATGTTTATTTGCTCCACTTGGATAGTTTATAAATGCACAGTTTGTGTGAGATGAAAACTTAGGAAAGGGTGTGGAGGAGAGGCGTCAGGAACTGACGGGGAAAAAACACAGGCCTAATTGGATTATATTGCTTGGATGAGGAGGTGTGAGTAGCCTAACCTGGAAATATGTAAGCATCACATGAGAGGTAAAAATTGTCCTTCTTTACAGTCAGGACAGAATATTACAAAGTACACAAGCAAATTATTTTTTTTCCCAAAAAGCAAAGACTATTTTTAAATGTGCTAAAACTAGCTACTTTAAAATATACTTAAATATGCAAATGAACGATTTAAACATTTTAATATATGCCTGTTCTCTAGATATATCATAACAGTGGAGATGATAAAATGGCAATATGAATTAGAACTTACTTCTTTAGCTTACTGTAACCATTAGATTGACAACTGGGACATGAGAACAGAATTATTATATTCCGCCCCCACTTAACCCTCACCCTACCCACATACAAATAGGCAGTTGAGTTTAGTGGTTAAGAGTATGGACTTTGGATCCAGGTAAACCTTTAATTCCACCTTTCCATTGCCAGTGTCCTTACTATGGATGATATTCAGTGTCTTGGGGCCTTATTTCTTGTTTTCTTTTGTTTGTTTGTTTGCTTTTGTGGGGAATGGAAAGACAATGGGCTAATGTCCAGGGTTTTCAATGAAGGAAGAATGGGCCCCTCTACTAAGGTCATGTGTTCTCTGAGGCTTTGGCTGACCCAGCATCTGTCCCAGGTAGTGCCAGTTGAATGGCTTATCCCACAAGTCTGCCAGTTTTCTTATGAAATCCATGTGCTGAATCTCTTTGTAGGGTTTCAGTTGCCACTCTGACCCAGCAGTCTTACGTGTTTAGGAAGCATGGTGTTTTCAAAGGCAGTAATGTATTTTTTTCTGTCTGCTATATTGGAGGTGTTGTGTTTAGTTCTTGGTTTTACTTTTAAGAAGACTGTTGTAATGACAACTGGGGATGTTAACTGTGGTTCACAAGACTTTATCTCCAGTTTTTCTAGGTTTTGTATTATTTTTTAAGGAGGGTGTTTAGGGGAGTAGGGTGTGTGTGTGCATTTCAAAGTCTTGAGGAACACTTTAGAAATCTAGGATTTTTTGAGTGAGAAAAGAATAATCAGGGCACTAGGATAGCTGTTTAAAAAAATTCGGAGGTCCTTAGGAGGAAGTTAAGTCCAGAGAGTAGAACTAGTTCTAGTGGGTGGAAGTTTTGATAGAGGAGCTATTCCGGTGCAATCGAAGGAAGAACTTTTCACCAATGGAAAGTGTACGAAAGGGGCTTATGTTTGCATATGAGATAGTGAGCTTCTCAGTATCAGAAATGTCTGGGATAGTTCGTGAAGATTCCTGCTCTTGGTAAAATATTGGAGCAAATGAGTTCTGAAGTTCTTGTGAAAAAGAATAGAATGTTCTAGAAAGCTTAAGTTTGTCTGGTGATCATTCCCAGTCTTCTTCCTTCAGTCCTCAGAAGTGAGCTCCTAGAAAATAACAGTACTGCCCTGGCCAGTTTGGCTCAGAGGTTAGAGTGTCGGCCTGCGGTCCAGAGACACTCGGATTCGATTCCCGCTAGGGGCACGTACCTTGGTTGCAGTTTGTCCCTGGCCCTGGTTGGGTTGTGTGGGTGGCAGCCACTCGATGTGTCTCTCTCACGTCAATGTTTCTCTCTCTCTCTCTTCCTCCCACTCTATCTGAACAACAACAACAAAAAAATGAAAAAGTGTCCGCCGGTGAGGATAAAATAAAAAAGAAAATAATAGTACTATTTTATAGGAATGTGTTTTCTTCCATCAATCGTACTGAATGCTGAATGTATTGTGGCTTACCTATTTTTTTATTTTTTTTTTAGAAACTATTTTAATTTTTTTTTTTTAACTTTTGTAGTGAATTTCACATATTGTTGTGCCAATGGTTAGCCATTTCCTTACTGATCGACATTATGTTTTCAATTCTTTGTTCTCACCAAATATGCTAATGTACAGTTTTGTATTTATTTAGATAACTGTTTAAGGTTTTTTATAACTTTCCTTCTAACTGAGGAGTGGAAAATTATCAGTTGTGATTCGCCTCCCAAAAGCAGAGAAGTCGTTGTGGATGTTGAAGAGATGAATTCAGACATTCTGGGTAGCATTAATTGGAAACAAAATAGGAATGATTGACATATTCTTTTATAAAACCATAGTACCTTATTATGTATCTGGTTGTTTTAGACATATAAGTCTGCTCCACCACTTCACAAAGTGATTAGCTTGAATAGGCCTTTTCCCTCCTTTCTTTACACCTGGCAAAGTGTAGCATAGTGGTGAACATATACTGGCCCCTTTGCAGTTCCTATTATACCACCCAAGGGAGGCATGGCAAAGGCCCTCCTAAATGGGGTTTTCTAAAGAACGCAGGGGGACTGCTGCATCCCATCCTCCTCCGGCCCTGGTTAATGTAGCCGATTCCTGGCTTAGACCATCTGGAAACTAAGGTTCCTGTTACCATGCTCCCCAAGTAATCTGATGCACACCTAGTCTGAGAACCCCTATTGTAAAGCAACCGTATAATTTCAAGGCAACTAGCTGACAAATTACAATGGGGGAAGATTTCTCAGGGAAAGAAACGTTGTTGATAAAACTAAGAAACTTTCTTTTGTTGTTTTCTGAAAATTTTTAAATTAGCATAACAGCTGAAAAAACAGTTTTAATAATGTTAGAATGTTATTTGGATAGGTTTTATACATCCTCTGGTACTATTGCCCAGTTGATGTACATCATTATTAATTTTAATAGATGGGCATGATTTTTTCTTTTGTTGAAAGCCAGTAATTACATATAATATTTCTGAAATATTATATTTATCTATTTTCTTTTTCTCAGGCTGCTCTTTATGGATGTGGCTGCTGGGCTGAAAATACTGGAGCTCATAATCCCTACTCCACAGCTGTGAGTACCTCAGGTATTTGCTGCTTTCATGACCATTTTCCATAACTTCAACCTTGTAGGTCATTTACTGATTGAAAACAATATTTTTATGTAAGCATAAAGCGTGTGCTAAGACACTGCATAGACAAGAGCACTGATGCATAAAAGACCTTTGATATTTGAGAGCTTTTAAGGATCGTTTCATAATGTAAGTATCACAGTGTAAATGCTTTCCTAACATTTCAACACATTCTGGAGTTAACTAACTTAACATTTTTATGAATTTTTTTTCTCTAATGATTCATGAGAGTGCCAAATTTAGATCACAGATATAAAAGTGGCAAGGCATTTCAGAAACTTAAGAGATATTCTCTTGAGTAAAATGTTGACGTAAAACTTATAAGGTGTATTTAAAAATGTATATTGTATGACATCCAATCCTGTACACTTTTAATAAAATGTACATCTTCTTTTTGTACCTGTATTTATAAAGTCATTATCATTTAGAAAAATGTGTGTGTGTATGTGTGTTGAGGGGTGAATTTTAATGGGCAGAATGGTTGGTGTCTACATCTAAATTTTTATATGCTTGTGCCAGATGTATTTGAAGCCTTTTCTTTTACTGTGGTGATATGCACAGTTGACAAAATAATAGTAGTTTGCTTTTGCCTATTGAGTTACAGTCCTACTAGGTCTTTCCCCCATACTCTAAGGCTTTATTGGTAGGGAAGATTGATATGGCTGCCTCTCTTTCCTTTTCCTCTTCAATCTGGTTGCCTTCTTCTCTTGATAACTCTTGACTCTTTTTGTGATCTCTGATGTAGGTGACTATTTTCTTTCTGTCTGTAGCATAGATTCTGGAAATTTTTTTCATTTGTCCTGCTTCTCTGACCTGCTTTATCTTTGCCTTCTTCACAGATTCTTCACATTGCTGACAGCTGCAGATTTGGGTCCCTGCTGTCTTTCCTTCATCTCACTGTATGTGTTCTCTTGGTGATTTGGTGTTATTGCTATGTTCCCATGATTTCAACAGTTAATCTCTTAGAGTATTAGCTTCCATGAATGTCTGTTTCTATTCTGGACTTTTCCCTTGAGGCCCATGTGTGTCATGCCTACTTCCCATTGGACATGTCCCTGTGGGTTTTATGTATACATATCAAATTCAGCAGACTCAACAAAACATCTTGTTTTTTATTCCTGCTCCCCAACCATCTTTCTCCTGTATCCCACATCTCTTTTATTGCCATCATTATTCTGTTCTTTGCTCAGACTTGAAATCTGGGTACCATTCTCATATTTTTTTTCTTCTTTCCATTTCTGCTGAACTGACCCTGTCATTTCAGGTCCATATTATCCTGCCTGTCTATTGTAGCAAGCAGTCTCCTGACCTAGGTTCATTCCTTGTATCAATGGAAAAATAAGACTATCAGCTGCTGGCCTATCAGGTGAGGGCCAAACACAAATTAGTGTTGAGTATAAACCACAGTAATATAATTGGCAAAGTATTTTCAGTGTTTTAATTTTGAAGAGATGAGCATAATATAATAATATTAGTTAATTTTTAATTTAATACTGATAGCACATGGAAACCTTTACACATAATATTTAGGAATTAGCTTGTGCTCATAATTAAGTATGGCCCTAAGTCTATGGAAAATTTTAGTATCTGAATAAACTGAAGTCTAAAATAGATAATTCATTATTTCCTCAAGTAAGTATCAGTTTTTATTATCTGTCAATTTTATTGTTGGTTAGTATGTTGTTCAATGAGTTGATTTTTCTTTAAATGTTACTCTCATGTCAAGAAGTTAGGAAATCTAGATTCTACTTTTTTTTTTTTTTAATCCTCACCCGAGGACATTTTTCCATTTTTTGTACAGATAGAGTGGGAGGGAGAGAGAGGAAGGGAGAGAGAGAGAGAAACATCGACGTCAAGGGACACATCGAGTGGCTGCCACCCGCATGACCAACCAGGGCCGGGGACAAACTGCAACCGAGGTACGTGCCCTTAGCGGGAACCGAACCCGGGTCTCTCCGGACCGCAGGCCGACGCTCTAACCGCTGAGCCAAACTGGCCAGGGCTAGATTCTACTTTTAAGATGAAATTCTAAGAGCCTGGCTGTGACACTTTGAAAAAGAAATTCAATTTTCTTGGGACCCCTCCCTCCATTTTTTAAACTGGTGATGTACAAGTTGGCATAATAACACATTTACTGGATTTGATTCTGTTAAATAGTATACTTTCTGTGGGTAAACCTAAAAAGGTATTTTCCCCTTGGCTATTTCCTTCTTTGCCCACCTTGCATCATTTGAAGCTAGTGTCTTATGACTACAGATAAGTTTAGGTTTCCAGTTCATGACATCCATTGTGGCTTTTTAAGTTGGATGCCCAGCTCACCATGTTACATCCTTCCCAAGTATAAGTCTAACCATCATTAGCCCATAGAACCTCAGGGTCTCCAGTTTTTTCCATCTCTGGGACCTCATGTGATTGCTTCATCCTTGTTTTTCCTGGGGCTATTGCTATGAGACTGACAATGGAAACACATGGCAGAGTTGGGTGATGAAGTCAGAAGAAAAGTGGAGCACAAAATTTTACAATTGTTTGGGCAAAATAAAAAAGACTTGTGCCTTAAGCTGTTGCAGAAAATCCAAAGACCTGGCCTACATTTTAGGTTTATAGTTTTTGGAAGGTGATAATTGAAAGGCAGAGGGGAGATAGTTAGTTATGGTTAGGGTTGGGATCTCCCAAGGCCAGACAGGACATGGTCATTAGCCTGAGGGATAAACTCCAGCATCTTGTTTTCATCACTGGGTGAGGATGAATGAGTAGGGACTGGCGAAGAGGATATGGTGGCATGAACTGACCTTGCAAACTCTGACTAATGTTCTGGCATCAGGAAAATTTGCCTAGCTTGGGAGGGAACAGAGTAGATACCTGGGTCCTGGTTCAGACTCTTTCACTCATTGGCTGTGACCCAGGCAAAGGGCTATTTGTAAAACAGGAATAATATCTGCCTTAATATTTATGAGGATTTAGTGAGTTGACATATGAAAGGCACATAGCGTACTTCGTGGTCCTGAGTAGTGGCTCAATACTTAACTGTATTTTGTTGAATCTAAGTCACCATCTTTTATAATATACACTATTATTTTAAAAATATATTAGTTGATTCATATTTTTTACAGTGGTAAGAACACATAACTTGAGATCTACATTCTTTACAGTTTTTACCATTTTAGCCATTTAAAAATTTAAAGTATAACCATGGCCAGTTTGGCTCAGCCATTAGAGCATCAGCCCGCAGACCAGAGAGTCTTGGGTTCAGTTCCTGCTAAGGCCACATACTTTGGTTGCGGTTTGTCCCCGGCCCCTGTTGGGGTTGTGTGGGTGGCAGCCACTCAGTGTGTCTCTCTCACATCAATGTTTCTCTCTCTCTCTCTTCCTCCTTCTCTCCCTTCTGTTCTATCTGAAGATAAATGAAAAAATGTCCTTGGTGAGGATAAAAATAAATAAATAGAAATTTAAAGTATAGTTGGCATAAAATTTTATATTAGTTTCAAATATACAACATAGTGATTTGACATTTATATACCTATCCTATGAAGTGATCACCGCAATCAGTCTAGGAACCATCTATCATTGTACAAAGTTATTACCATATTATTAACTACATTCCTTATGCTATACACTATATCCCCATTTCTTATTTATTTTATAACTGGAACTTTGTACCTCTTAATCCCCTTCATATTTTTCACCTATCTCCCTCTTAATCCCCTTCATATTTTTCACCCATCCTCCTACCCTTCTTCCTTCTGTTAACCATCAGTTTGTTCTGTGTGTCTGTTTCTGTTTTGTTTTATTTTTCAGATGTAAGTGAAACCATATGGTATTTGTCTTTCTCTATTTGACTTATTTTATGTAGCATAATATCCTCTAGATCCATCTATGTTGTCAAAAATAACAAGATTTTATTCTTTTTTTATGGCTGAGTAATATTTCATTATGTATATGTACCACATCTTTCATTCATCTATTAATGGATAGCTAGGTTCCTGCCATATCTTGGCTATTGTAAATAATGCTACAGTGAACACAGAGGTGCATATCTCTTTTCCTATTGGTATTTTATCTATCTATCTATCTATCTATCTATCTATCTATCTATCATCTATCTATCTATCATTTATCTATCTCTATCTATCATCTGTCTATTTATCTATTTTTGTTAATCCTCACCCGTAGATATTCTTTTCCATTGACTTTTTTTTTTTTTAAAAGAGAGTTGGAGGGAGTGGGGAGGCATGTGGAGAGAGAGAGAAAGAGAAAGAAAGAGCAACACATTGACTAGCTGCCTCCTGCATGATCCCATCTAGAGCTGGGGAGTGAACATACAACCCAGGTACATGCCCTTGACTAGGAATCAAACCTGTGACCCTTCAGTCCATAGGCTGACACTAATCACTGAACCAAACTGGGCAGGGCTCTATTTGTGTTTTTGTTTTCATTGTATAAATGCCCGGAAGTGGAATTGATGGGTTATATAGCTCTATTTGCATTTTTTTTCGATGTATCTCCACACTATTTTCTATAGTAACTGCACCAATTACAGTCCCACCGACAGTACATGAAGTAAGGTTCTTCTTTTTTTATACATCCTCACCAACACTTGTTATTTGTTGTCTTTTTGATAAGAGCCATTTAGACAGGTATGAGGTTATTTCTTATGTAGTTTTGATTTGCATTTTCTTGATGGTAAGTAATGTTGAGTATCTTTTTAGGTGTCTGTTGGCCATCTGTATGTAATTCTTTGGAGAAATGTCTATTTAGCTCCTCTGCCCATTTTTCAGTTGGGTTGTTTTTTTGTTTGTTTGTTTTTGATGTTGAGTTGTATGAATTCTTTATCTTAGATATTAACCCCTTATTGGATATTTAATTTGAAAATATAGTCATGTGCTGCATAACAACCTTTCAGTCAATGACGGACCATATATACAATAGTGATATATCATAGCCTAGTTACGTAGTAG